CTCGCTCCGCTCCGCAGACTCCTGGGCGACGGAGCGCATGCTGAGCCGAGGCTCCTCGTCGCCCCTGCGGAGCGACAGGGCCTCCGGGATGGTGTGCAGCGCGCCCCCCAGGGCGCCCGCGCGGCGGCAGGCCGAGTTCCGCCTCCTCTTCGCGGTGTTCTCGTTTGTTGCGTCGGTTGTTTGAGGATCTGTTCTGGGTTGCGTTCTTGTTCTTGATCGGTCGTTTATGAGTCGATTCTGGGTGTTGTTCTGTGTTCTCTTGGTCTGTTTCTGGTTTCTGGTGTTGTTCGGTGTTGTCTTGGTTTGTTCTGGATCTCCCACAACCCATCGTGTCGGCTCTTGCGAGATCGACGCCAGATCGAAGCTACATCGGCGCTGAGTCGACGCTGCCTCGACGCTTAAGTCGGCGCCAAATCGGCGCGACATCGGCACCATCTCATCGACTCCCAGACGCCAGTCGACTCTGATCGACGCTGAAGACGGAATTACGAGTGTACACAAGAGAGAGAAAGAGAGAGAAAGAGACAGAGAGAGAGAGAGAAAGAACGGGCGCGCGGTACCGCCGGATGCGGGGCCTGTCAGGGCCTGCGCGGGGGGGCCGGAGCCCTCAGGGCATGCTGTCATTGTTTGCCAGGGTCGGAGTGCCGAGTTCTGAGCTGGTGGACGTTGGAGGGCGATGGGGGGAGGTGGAAGCGGAGAGGCTCCCACGAGTCCCTACCAAATCTCGGGGATCTACCGACCCTGGCCAATCCAAGCCCGGGCCAGCCAGGCAGCGCATGATCCTGCAGGATCCCGCACCCCAACCTGGGTCGATGCAAACCTGGCCCTGCAAGATCCTGCAAAAGATCCGGCGCTCTGACTGACCCCTGTTGGCATCGACCCCCGTCTCTTGAGCCCCGGAAATCCTCCCGGTCGGTGAGCCGAGGGCCACGGGCTCCTCGTCGGGGTACCGCAGGCCGCCAGGCCCGCCGGGCACGACCTGCACCGCCGCCGCGAGGCTCGCCTCGCCCGTGGCCGCGGTCGGCCAAAGCACGTCGCCGCCGCCCGCGCCCGCAGCGCCCCGCCGCCTGCCGCCCCGCAGCTCCGCGATCTCCTTAGGAATCAGAAGGTCCACCCTCATGACTCCTCCTCCTCCTCCTCCTCCTCCTCCTCCTCCTCCTCCTCCTCCTCCTCCTCCTCCTCCTCCTCCTCTCCTCCTTCTCCTCCCCCTCCTCCTCCTCCTCCTCCTTCTTCTCCTCCTTATACGTTTGCCCAAACCTAAAGTTTCCCCGTGGCATTCTTGAAGAGCAAAAAAACAATAAAGAACGACCCTGGCCCAGGTGCACACGGTGGGCGCTGCGGAAAATGAAATCAGAAAAGATGAGGCCGAGAGTAATAAAAAGAGTAGCCGCCCGCCAGGTCCTCGAAGGCGGCACTAGCCTTAGTAACCACGTGCCCCCTATCAGTCTATAAGACCTATCCCCCAATTGTTGTCATTGGTAGCGCCTCCTCAGATGGCAACTAGCAGTAACAAGAGAATGCAAAGAGCGACGCAGTGTCGGCGACACTAGATAGCTGTGCCAAACAAAGTGTCGCTGCACAATGGTCCCTTTGCCTGCAGTTGGCACGCTCTTTCAGCCAGCAGTAGGCCCGCTCTTCGGTTCCTAGGTGGAGTGACCACCGTCACCGTTTCTTTTGGTCAGGAGTATGAGGGGTAGGCATGTGAGAATGAGGTGAGAAGGTAGGTCGGGCACGATGCACAGGCTGGCCTGTGCAGGCTGGACTGTATACAAACGTCAGTAAATACAAGAACATGACTGGTCCCAATGTCGCAAAGGCTAGCCTGTGCAAGCTGGCCTGTGCTTGAAGTACTTTTGGCGGGCGTGCCCTTGCGGTGGGCCAGGGTCTTCTGGTTGACCCTAAGCCGTCGGATCTGAATGAGGGGTGACCAGTAGGACAGATCAGAGGAGTAGGGAGTACGGGCCACAAAAAGAAGAAAGTGCGGCTGACAGGTATTACTGCTGCAAAGAGATACGCAGCTTGTGCACCACAACCGCGTACGTGAGCAAGTTGCTAACGTGTACGGCTGTGGGACCTTCAGGAAGCCAATCTGTACGCACTTCTGTATGCACCTGCCCGTGTTGTTGGAAGGGGCTTTCTGGTTGACTACAAACCGTCGTAAGCATTGGCAAGGCGAGGCAAGCGGCATGCACGGCGCGTTGACAACACAAAAGACGCGCACTGTGACTGCTAGCAACTGGCACGGCCGTAAAACATTGCCCGAACAGTGGGCAGGGGCTTCTGGTTGACCCCGAGCCGTCGAGGCTGAGAGATGCGTACCACCAACACCTCAAGAGAACGAGAAAGTAGACAGCACAAGAAATAGTAGCATAGGAGGGGAATGCGAAGTACAAGCCACATAAAGAAGAAATTGCGGTTGGCAAAAGGTACTGCTGCAGAGAAATATGCAGCTTGCGCACCACAACCGTGCACGTGGGCAAATTGCTCACGTGTACGGTTGCGGGACAATACGGGAGCCAACCTGTATGCACTTCTGTATAGACCGGCCCGTGTTGTTGGCAGGGGCTTCTGGTTGACCCCAAACCGTCGTGAGCATGAACAAGGCGAGGAAAGCGGTATGTACGGCGCGCTGCCAACATAGGACGCACACTGTGACTCCTAGCCGATGGCATGACCGTAAAATATTGCCCGAGCAGTGGACAGGGGGTTCTGGTTGAACCTGAGCCGTCGGGGCTGAGACAGACGTAACACCAACATGTCAAGAGAACGAGGAAGTAGACAGCACAAGACATGGAAGCAGATGAGGAGAAGACGAAGTACAGGCCAGACAAAGAAGGAAGTGCGGCTAACAAGTATTACTGTCGCAGAGAGAGATATGCAGTTTCCGCACCACAACCGCGTACGTGGGCAAGCTGCTCACGTGTACGGCTGTGGGACATAAAAAAGCCAGCCTGTATGCACTTCTGTATAGACCTGCCCGTGTTGTTGGCAGGGGCTTTCTGGTTGACTACAAACCGTCGCAAGCATTGGCAAGGCGAGGCAAGCGGTATGCACGGCGCGTTGACAAAAGAAAGACGCGCACTGTGACTGCTAGCAGATGGCACGGCCGTACAGTATTGCCCGAGCAGTGGGCAAGGGATTCTGGTTGACCCCGAACCGTCGAGGCTGAGAGAGGCGTACCACCAACACCACAAGAGAACGAGAAAGTAGACAGCACAAGAAATACTAGCATAGGAGGGAAAGGCGAAGTACAAGCCAAATAAAGAAAAAGTTGCGGTTGACAGGTAACACTGCTGCAGAGAAATATGCAACTTGCGCACCACAACCGTGCACATGGGCAAGTTGCTCACGGGTGCGGTTGCGGGGCAAAAAAACATGCACTTCTGTGTAGACTTGCTCGCGTTGTGGGCAGGGGTTTTCTGGTCAACCCCAAGACGTCGCAAGCAAGAACAGTTTGAGGCAAACACTCTGCACGGCATGTTGCCAAAATAGGACGCGCACTGTGACTGCTAGCAGGTGGCACGGCCGTAAAATATTGCCCGAGCTGTGGGCATGGGTTGCTGGTTCACCCCGAGCCGTCGAAGCTGAGAGGCGCACCACCGGCATATCAAGAGAACGGGAGGGTGTAGGTAACAATTGTATGAAGAAAGACGGAAGTAGAGCAAATGACGTAAGACGCGGTCGACATGCAGTGCAAATGGCGGCACGTATGGTTCTTCGAGTGGGGTCGTACCCTGACAAGGAACCCAAGTGCGCAGAGCGTGCTGGCTGGAAGAGGAGGGTGTCCTGTAACAGGGTCCCTCACTTGTAACTCGCAACGCTTGGGCCGCGAACCAGGGTTTTAAAGGCGGGCCCAAAATCTACAACTACTGAGAGTGAGGAATCACGAGCGTGTCGGAGCAGCGCGTCGGAGTGACAGAGGGGTGTGAGGCGCATCGGTGAGAAAGGGATCGGCATAAACGGGAGAGTCGACAACTGTGCGCCCGTGGCTGCACACTGTGCAACTAGGGAGAAGGCTCAGATGATGCTCTTCTGCGGTAATAGGGGAGGTACGGGTACTGGAGGTGGATGTCGTGGCAGGCTGCTACCATTGTGTACTTAGTCCATAGTTTGGCATGTGTCGTTTAAGCTCGTAGGTTTGGGCTTGGGTGGTGTCTTGTACAGTCTCACAATCTGCTTGGGCGGAGGCTCTTTGAAAAGTACTCCCGTTCGGAGATCGTAGAGACTGTTGATGTAGATCTCGTAGCGCGTCTGTTGTGAGCGGATCCTGTCGATCATCCTCCTCCTCCTCCTCCTCCTCCTCCTCCGCCCGACACGCGATGTCGCTTCGCAAACGCACCGAAAGGAGGAACCAAACAAGGCGGGGCTGTCTCGTAAACGCCCAAGGCCGTTTGGCAAACGCCAATGATCGGGTCCGGGTGGCTCTTCCTCCCTTGACTCCTCGCTCAGCGACGCGTTCTCGTCGCGCAGGGCCGCGACCGCGGCGCTGATGTCGGCCTCGCGCTGGCGGAGGAGCCGAGCGAGCAGGTCGCGGAACTCTGCGTCCGGCGCCTCCTGGGCCAGCATGTGTGGCGCGCGCCCCGCGCGCGGCGGCGCGCTGCTCGAGTGGTCCAAACTTGGGCCAAAATGGCTCCGGCTTAGGCTCGGTGGCTTTCACTGGCTGTCGAGCGTCGAGAGCGCGCAAACATGGATTAGCGATCCATGGATTTGGCGCGCGGTCGCCGAATGCATGGATCGCGGGAGGTGCCCTCCCCAAAATGCTGCCGGTGCCGCCTTGTTCGGCGGCAGAAATCCGCGTCGCAAATCCACGCCCCCTTGATCCATTTTTGCGATCGCCTGTAAGTGGTCAGATCAGTTGGATCGAATGTTTAGGGAGGTAACATGGCCGGGACTGCCATCTGTTGACGTGCGAGGCTGCTGCGTGGGAGGCTCACGGACACCGATAGAAGGACAAGGGCATGATGGATGTAGTTGGAGGTCCTCTTCCTCCCGCTCTGATTTGCGTGGCACCGCGATAAGCTGGACCAGCCAGGAGCCCACGAGCGTGGCGACCATCTCGCAGTCCGCAGCCCACAGAGACGGCGAGGTCCTGATCGCCGCCCCCCAGGGATGGCGAGGTCTGGTACGAATCCCCGTAAGACGTCACTGTGCTGGGCTCTCGGGAACGGCTTCGCAGTTCGCAGTCCCCGGCCCTCGAAAATGGCGACACTTGTTGGCAATTCGCAGACAGGCTCACAGCTCGCAGATCCCTGGGGATGGCGAGGTCTCATATGAATCCCCATAGGGAGGGTCACTGTGCTGGGCCCTCCAGCAGCCCTCGAAAGTGGGGACGGCTTCGCAGGTCGCAGCCTCCAGGGATGCCGAGATCTAATCTGCGTCACCGTGCTGGGCTCCACAGCAGCCCTGGTAAGTTGGGACAGCTTCGCAGGTCGAAGCCCCCCCCCCGCGGGAGGAAGGAGCCATGGTAAGAGGCAGGTAGGAGGCAAGCAGGTAGGAGGCAGGAGGGAAGAAAGGAGGAGGACTGCGGGAGGGAAGGAGGGAATGAAGACCGCAGCAGAACGAGAACCCTTGACTGGAGGGCAGGGAACTAAGAGCAACTGAAAAATAACTAAAAGCTACTGAACGCCACTAACAACCACTACACATCGAAGCGCTACTCAAAGCCACGAAACGCCAGACCAGAAACAATTTCCCAAAAAGGAGCTCCCAAGAAAGACTACTAAAGAACGTTCTGAAAAAAGACTGACTGAACGTCAGCGATGCGTCGGCGACGGCGAGGCGGATGCATCGCCGATGCAGCGCAATCCTGCTGCCCCATCTATGCTCCAGCCACGTTTGCACGACCTCGACTCCGACAGGGAGACTTGGATGAGCCGGATGCCGCATGTCGAGAGTCGCGTGCCTGACAACGATGCCTGGGCATCTTTTTCTCCGTGGCGTTAGATGAAGGTCTCGGCCGACACCACTGGCTGGCGCGCCCGCTGGGACAGAGGCAGCGGAGGCGGCCGAGCCAGCACCGCTGGGCAGGCTGCGGAGTACATCGGGAACACGTCCGCGGTCGGCCGCACCGAGACGGGGGGGTCCTGGAACAGCGCCCGGGCCTTTCGGCGCGCAGCCCTCGCGAACTGCCGCGCCCTGTCCGCGGCCGAGGCGGCATACGTTGCGGCGTACCTGGGCGGGGGGGGGGCAAGCATGCACGGGCACCGCCACTGCACCCACGACCCTCTCACGGGCGGCGTTCTGACCACGACGTGACGTCGACGCGGAACCAGCCGTGGCGACGAGAGAAGGGCGGCGGTATCGGTGCGTCTTCCTTCCGGGAGTGCCTGGACCGCTTGGCGGCTGCGCTCGCCTGCGCCATGAGGCTGAGCTCGTCCTCGGAGGCAGACAGCGGCACGGGCGCCTGGTACGGGTGCCCCAGCACATTCTTGTTCATGATCAGCGGCCGGGCGTACTCGCCCAGGCGCGCGCCGGCGTAGTACCTCTCCTCGGGCGGCCAGAGGTCCTGTGGGAGGCAGAGGGACACACTCCTACCATGCGCACCCCCTGGAGGCGCAGGTCCGAGCCGAGCACATGGCACGGGCATGAGAGAGTGAATCGTTGCCGAGGCGGTATGGCCAGCAAGAGCCCACCACCGATCATAGATTGTAAGAGTTCTGAGCGCTCGCGCCACCCCTGGGGTGCCGAAGCGCACACGGTGTAAGCATGCTTGGGTGATGCCGATCCTGGTCCGCGCCGTGCTTCCTCCACAGGCTCTGGCCCATCACGTCCCCGCCCGGCCACTGCGTGTCCACGTCCAGCAGGGCCCGCTCGGTCATGGTGCTGGGCCCCTTGTAGTCTATGTGGGGGAGCTCGCGCGGCGACCACTCCAGGAAGGCAGTCGCCGGAGCGCCGCCCGGCGGCAGCGCGAGGTGCTGCACGACCCTCGAGGTGCCCATGGCCACCAGGGTGCCCGCGCGCGGAGCGCGGTCGGGCCAGCCCGGCAGGAGTGCCCTGGGGTCCACATGGCTGCGCACAGCAGCGCAGGCTGCTGCCCTCCCCGCCCTCCCTCCTCTCCTCGTCCGCGGCCTCGCTCCCCTCGAGCGCCGCGCTCGGCACGAGCGCGGCGGCCAGCGCGCGCAGGCCAGCCGCGCGAGATCGCGCGCCAGGGGGCCGGGCCAAGGCGTTCTGTGCCCGCGCGGAGGCCTCCCCGTTGCAAGGACCAGCCCGCGTGGGCTGAAGGGGGGGGCAACGGCCTGGGCGAGCTCCGCGCCCACTGCTTCAAGGCAGGGGCTCAGGAGGAGAGTGCACCCTCCCCTCGATGCATGCTGCGGCTCCTGCCCACCTCTGCTGACAGCGTCGCCCGTTCGCCAGCGCTGAACTCTCGGACCCCGTGCAAGCTGAAGCCGAACGCACCGGTGTCGCGTCCTCTCTTGCCCTCCGAAAATGATGATGAGAAAAAGGAACCCGTGTTTAAACAACTATTCGCGACAACGCCCATGGCCCGACCCGCCCCCCCTCCCCTCTTCCCCTGGTCGCGCCACGGTTCGCGCCAGCGCCGTCCAGGAATGAGATCATCTGAAGAATTCCCAGACGGCGCCGGCGCGCATCGTGACGCGACCAGTCCCTTCCCCCCCCCACACCGGTCACGCCTGGCATCGCCAGGGGATAAGACAGGGTCTCAAGAAGGGGGGGGGGATATGGCGGAGCGGTCGGCCTGCGCCTGCCGAGGTGCCGGAGCCGTCGGAGCGCATGTGACGGCGCAGGCCCTGGAAGACCTCTGGTCACCTCGGGTGCCTGGCCTGCTCCCGCGCGGGCCGCTGTGGGCCTCGACGCGCGCCAAGCACCCGGCAGCTCCGTTTGGAGGCTGCGCGGGTGTTGGGAAGCTGCCAGTCTGGCGGTGCTTGAACAAACTCCACTGCCAAGGGAGCGAAACGGAAGGCAGATGTTGAAAGGGACGGCCTCCCTCTTCCTCCTCCTCCTCCACCACCACCCCCTGGTTCCCTCAACATCCCTACTGCGCCTCATCCTTTATCATCCCTCCCCCCTTCCTCACTCCTCCTCCTTCCCCCGTCCTGCACCCTCCCTCATCCATTCTTCTCCTCCTCCTCCTCCTCCTCCTCCTCCTCCGCTTCCTCGCCCTCCATCCTCCTCATGCGTGGTGACAGCCGTCAGGTAAGGGTGCAACGTGCATCTAGCGCAAAGCTGGAGCCGTCACCAATCGTCGTCGTCGTCGCTGGGATACTCATCCCTCGCCGCCTGTTTCAGCTGCTCTTCGTGCCGTCTCTTGGCCACCATTTGCTGCCGTATCCAATCCTTGATGGGCAGCTCCCGCTCCAAGAGATCCATGTTATGCGCCAGCCTGTCTTTGTGTGTACCAATGGATGTAGCATGATGGACCATGTTCTCGAGCCTGCGACCCGGCACAATCCTTCTCCCCATCTTCTCTCACCCCTCCTGCCCTATCCGCTATACATACCTCGTCTACATACCCCCCGAGCGAGCATCCCCATTATCATCCTGCTCGTCCCCCGTCATCCACCTTCGCTTGCCTCATCATACCTCTACTCCCCCACTCATACTTCTGCTCCCCCTCATCCTCCTACTCATTCTCGCCAAACTTCTCCCTCCTACTCTCTCTCTCTCTCTCTCTCTCTCTCTCCCTCCCCCCTCATCGCTACAGTACTGATACATACAATTCATGACCGTGCTCACAACCAGTAGAGACAAAAACAACACCACCACCGATAACAACAGCAGCAGCATCCTCATCATCAGCAGCATCAGCATCGTCAGCATCACCGTAACTGTTACCCAGAATGTCCTAAACCTCACACGCAGCCTCACAACCAGCAGCATCAACATCCTTGCCCTCATCATCACGATCCCCACCCGCAGGCTGCAGCCAGCCGGAGCGGCCACCGGGCGCACGGGCACCGAGGCGGGCAGCGAGGTCAGCAGACGGCCCGCCCGGCGCCCCGGCCGACGCCGCGACCGGCGCCCAGCCCGTGGGCGGCGGGCTGCCCGAGGGTGCGGCCGCGGGCCGCTCAGAGCGACAGCAGGTACATGCGATGCGGCTGGGCTTGGGTCAGACTCTACTTGGGGAACGATGGCGAGTACCACCTAGCAGCCAGCAAGAGAGGCCCACTACCAGGGCCAAGACAGAGCAACAACCGAGCCGAGATATGGGCCTTCTACAACTGCATCACTAGCACGCAGGGCGACGTTCAGTTCTGGACCGACTCCGACGTACTAGCAGCAGGCTGGCGCAACAATCGACAGCTCGGACCATTCACACAGGGTTCCAACGCGGACATCTGGTACGAATTCGACCACGCGCTACGCGACAGAGGGCACTATCAGCATCTTCAAGATAGAGAGCCACCTGACTGTGGACGAGGCCATGCTGAGGGGCTTCCCCAAGCACGCCTGGGCGGGTAACCACCTGGCCGACACTTTGGCGGAGCAAGCAGCGGCGGACCACAGCATCAACCACAGCTGGCTCGACTACTATGACTGGATCAGGGCATCGGCGGTACGGGTACGCGACAGGATATGCGAGGCCACACGTGCAGCCTTCGAGCAGCGACCACCCATACCTGCTTCACGGCGACAGCAACGCGACGACAACCGCTCCGACGACATGCAGGACCAACCGACGCCACTACCTTCACTTGCAGCGACATGCACACACAACATTATGCGTGGAGCTGCACTAGCACGATGGGAGTGCCAGAACTGCCACCAGTCGGCCACCAAGTCAGGAGCCAATTTCATCGCCAGGCAATGGATGACATCGACTTGCGCGGGGCATGAAGTTACGGCCCGACCCCAGCGTGGCATCTTAATTGGGAGCGATTTCACCCACCCGTCGCAACATATGCTCTACAGCGACAGCGCGCAGCGATGGTTCTGTGTGCTATGTGGAGGGCGCGCCAGCCCAGGTCAGCGCAGATTCCTCGGACATCTTCAACGCGATCCTTGCTCTGGCACGCCGTCGACATCATCGGCCACCTACCTGCTCAGCAAGCTTCTGAAGGGCGTCAGCTGGAACGGAGCTTTGGATGACACGGACTCAACAGAGCCTGCTGCAGCATGACGGGCAAATTCTGGTGCCCCACACGGTGTGCCGCCTCTGGGAAGCTCGCGGTTGCGGGCTTCCCAGAGGCAGGGGCCCCTCCACCCTGACCCATTGTGAGGGCTCGGCGCCCCGCGCTGCTGGCGGCAGTCATGCGGCGTGGGCAATGAGTGTACAAGTTTGGGCTCGTACTGGAAGGTTTCGTCGCCACTGGACTCGCAAGCTGCAGCAGGCCAATGGCTACGCTGGATGTAGGGAGAGCATTCCGTTACCATGTGTCCCCTCCGAGCGTCGCTTTGGCTCACAAGTTGCAGCAGGCCCAAACTTCCTCGCCTATGGGTACGTCGAGGAGAAGTGGCGCCGTGGCGGCAAACGACGTCTACAGTTTTCGATTGCGGGACCCGCGGACATGATGAACCTGCTGCTCCACCCTCGAGCTGGACAGCTATGTCGTGGTACGGGGCCCTCGACCAGTTCCTCAAGGTGTTCGAGACCTCGGGGGTCCTGGACTTCGTGAGGAGCGCCGAGCTGGACAGCTTCGGGCGGCGGGGTTCGTAATGTAACTAACCCGTCGCCCGAAGCGGGGTGCTACGTGGTGCTCTCGGAGTTCGTGGTCGCCGAGGGGGCCCACGGCGACAAGTCGGGTGACGGGCCTGTTGGGTGGTCGGCCTTTGCCGACCTTAATCCTGCCCTCCCCAAGAGGGCGTGCCCAGCAGGTCGACGTGTACCCCGACCGCTGTCAGTCGTGCGTCGCATGTTCTGGGCCGCCGTCGCCAGCCTCGAGGTCCAGGAGACGGACGAGGCCTGGGGGGCGGCCTGGGCCCGCAGGCCGGGCGGGGGCGCGCCGCCGCTGCGGTCGCGGGCGGAGCAGCGACATCGTCGCGCAACGCGTCCCCGCGTCCTCGCGTCCTCCTCCTCCTCCTCCTCCTCCTCCTCCTCCTCCTCCTCCTCCTCCTCCTCCTCCTCCTCCTCCTCCCTCCCTCCTCCTCCCCTCCTCCTCCTCCTCCTCCCCTCCTCCTCCTCCCTCCCCCTCCCCTCCTCTCCTCCTCCTCCTCCCTCCTCCTCCTCCTCCTCCTCTCCTCCTGCTCCTCCTCCTCCTCCTTCTCCTCTCCCTTCTCCTTCTCCTCCTCCTCCTCCTCCTCCCCCTCTCCTCCTCCTCCTCCTCCTCCTCCTCCTCCTCCTCCTCCTCCTCCTCCTCCTCCTCCTCCTCCTCCTCCTCCTCCTCCTCCTCCTCCTCCTCTCTGGCTCATGGCCTCTCTCTGTGGCCCCTCCCGTGTGCCTCCTCGCCCCCCTCGCCCTCCTGGGCCTTCTGGGAGAGAAGGAGGAGGAGGAGGAGGAGGAGGAGGAGGAGGAGGAGGAGGAGGAGGAGGAGACGAAGGAGAGGGAGGAGGAGGACGAAGGATCAAGTCGGGGAAGAAGGGAGGGAGGAGACGGAGAAAGAGGAGGAGGAGGAGGAGGAGGAGGAGGAGAAGGGGGAGAAGGAGGAGAAGACGGGGGAAGAGGGGAGAAGAGGGGGGAAGAGAGCGAAGAGGGGGAGAGAGGGGCAGGAGGAGAAGTCTGGGGAAAAGGGGGAGGAGAAGGAGGAAGAAAAAAGAAGAGAGAGAGGACGACGAGGAGATGGAGGTGGAGGCCCAGCCTGTTCAATGGCGTGTCGGGTACATGATGCCGGTGATCCCAGGAGGGCTTCGGCAGCGCCAGAACGGGCAGCGAGCGGATCTTCCTCAGCCGGGCAGATGGACGAGGTAAGAAGATAGGGGGGGACGAGAGAGGAATGAAGAGGAGATGCGAGGTGACACGATAGGGGAGGGATGAGGAACATGGCGGAATAGGTGAAGGAAGAAGAACAGGAGGAAAGCACACATCGAGACAATGACTGCGAGGAAGAAGCGGTGAATGAAGAGGACGAGGGACTGGGAGGGGTGAGGAGGGAAGTGATAAGGAAGATGGAGGAGGATGGAGGAGCACGAGGATGGTGAGTGCCATTTAAAAGGACGAAGGGAAGAGGGACAAGGGAGGAGGATTGACATTATATAGGATGAGCGGTGCGGGAGGAGGATGAGCAGCAGACAAGATGAAGGAGGGAGGAGAGGGAGAGAGGGAGGGAGCGAGGGAGAAGGAGGAAGGAGGAGAAGGAGGAGAAGGAGGAGGAGGAGGAGGAGGAGCAGGAGGAGCAGGAGGAGGAGGAGGGAGGAGGAGGAGAAGGAGGAGGAGCAGGAGGAGCAGGAGGAGGAGAAGGAGGAGGGCATACAGTAGAAAGGAAGGAGGAGAGGAGAGGTGGGAGACTGAGGGGGGTCCTGCCTTCAGCCTTGGGGACGCCACTGGGGGGCTCCTGTGAGCAGAGGGAGAGGCCCTTGGGCCGTCCGACTCGGAGAACGTGGCCAGGGCAAGCCACCGCCACACAGCCAACGCACTGCCACGCTGCCTACAGCCACCACCACGCCTC